CAGAAACTTACATCGTTACTCGTCTTCGAATACATTTTTACATATTTTCATGATTGCTTCAGCTTTTGAAAATGAATCGTGAGTGGTATTCGAATTTGATCTTTTAAAATTCAATGAAACAAAATTGTGTCAACTTTCAACACCATATATATTTTGACTTATATAACTTTGATGCGATCAAATGTCGGTGACGTAAATTAATTAATTAACTTTTGCAGGGAAGCAGGGAAGTTTCGCGTCTTCAAGTGAGAAACTAACGCTTTTTTTAGATCAGCTTCCATCTAAATTTTAGTACCGAAAACTCGTATAGTTCGGGGAGCAGAGCATGCGCATTTAATGGAATCACACAAGAGTCTAAGAATGTAACGTTAAACGATAATAAATTCTCGATGGGATGGAAAGTGCTATGGAACATAGCACAGATGGCCCGCGCACATCTGAAAATTCCTATCTCCGTTTCCTCCTTTACTTTGTTTATATGAACTTCATGCATGCAGTAGTAGTTGAATTTATTGAAAAATTTTTCATTTCTTTATTTAACTTTTTAATTTTAATTTCAATTTCAATGTTTTTCGGTTTGTTTTTTTTTTTTTTTTTTTTTTTGTTTTTTATATTATAATATTTTGTTTGTTTAGTTTAACTTTCAGTGAAAGTTGACGTAACATCATTTGACATGTTATTCACTTCGCTCTGCATGTAATTGTGTGCAAAGTATACGTGTATTATATTTACTTTATGTATCTTTAATGCAATTCGTTTCGAAATCGGTTTTAGCAAGCACTTTGCATACGTAACATACGCATTCACTTATGCACAATATGCTAAACATGTCCATCTGCTGACATTTTAATATGAAGTGACTTACGTAGCTTAATTATTAATAAGAGTTTATTTCAATAAAAAGCTTAAATACTTTCTGCTTCACCTTTGAAACGTAAGCCCATTAAATATTAATATGACAATATGTCTTCAATTTACCCCTCGAAGCATTGAAATACTTTTGTACGTATCGGAAGATCGAAAAAGAGCTTTGTCCTGAATCCTTAGAAATTTCAAATTGCGTTCAGGTTACGTTCATTTTCCAAACACACAATAGTGTTTGCTGCCTATTACTTGCTATACTTCCCTTAGTTAAGGAAGTCATACATATATAAAAATTGATGTAAGATGACTCGGCAATAGTGGGTGTACTTCAGTAGCTCTGGAAAGACCAATTAAAGAATGTAGGGAGATTACATTTATGTATGTACGCGTATATGTATATGTTCTTTTCTGTCTTCCCCCTGCCTCTTTATTTCGTTGCTGTTTATGTTCTTGCTGTGCGTAGAATCCACGGACAACGGCAGGAAGAGTAAAAAAATTTGAAAATGGTTTGAAAGCGTGTAGAGTGGTGCAACGCGCCCACTGAATTATTAAAACCACACAAACAAATTAAGCGTGTGCGAATGTATGCTTGCCCGTCCGCTTGTCTCTCTTGCTTTCTTGTGTTCAACGAACATGTCGCCATTTGATAAAACTTGTTACGCTGGCCTGTTTTGGCTGAAAGTTGAACGCTACTCGGTATAGTTCGGATCGTATCACTTTTTGGACCATCTACCATTTAACTGTAAAAAGCTGTTGAATTAGCGATTGTATTAAGCGAAGCAGTGTAGAGTGTGTAATGATCAGCCTAGCTGCACTTCAGTCTAACATTTCCTTCCGTCCTTACCGAAGTTAATTTCAATATTGTGTTCATTCCCCTCATCGGTCATCACGATTCAGCAGCAGCATCATACTTTGCACTAAGTATGAAAACTAACGTTTCCCGCGTTTGGTTTTCTCTTTGGCAAAAAGTTATGCTGTATGTTGCTTGAAGCTAGGGTTTGCAAAGAAGAATATGTGACACTCTCACAAATACTCTTACAGACACGTTAGTCTTGTCTTTTAGAAAGCACGTGAACTTATCAAGAGGTTTGCGATCGTGTTAAACTAATTTTAAACCGATCGAAGATCGATGAAGAAATAGTTAAATCGATTTAAGATTTGTACCCGATATGGTTTTACCATGATCTGCCTACATCTCTGCTGGCGACTATGAACGCAACCTTTAAAAGCATTATAACCCGGCCTTTGGTGCTCGATATAAAGGAGGACGTAATTATTAGATCAAGTCAGTGAATGAATTTAATATAATTATTTACTGGTAGGTACTTAATATTCTCCTCCATGCAATTAAGCAATTCTTATATGCTTTCTTAGACTGTACAATTAAAATCTGCATTTTGTGAAACTCGACCATGTATTTGACAATAAGTGATCCATGATTATTGTTAGTTTATTTACGATTGCCGTACATAGTCATATGCGAGCGGCCAATTCCTTTTTTAGTCATTTAAACGAAAACACGTTCAGGCAATCAGACACAAAGAAATCGATTGCTGCATTTTCATTTAGTAATTGTTCGATAAATGTTTAATAAAAACAAATTTTGCTGCAACTGATCTACGTTAACCTTTCGAAAACAAAGCGAAGAGCCTCTTATCAGACATCATGATGAATTCAAAAAGTTCGAAATTTGACAAACAACGAGAGCGGAAACAAGGAGAGAGATCCAAAGATGAGATTTGATTTAAGTTTTGTGGCAATCAAATTTTGTTCCTGGGGGGGGGAGTAAGGTAATGGCATTGTATTCTCTAAATGCCGTCAAAGCAAATATAAATATATTCTTATAAATTATTTGTTTGCATTTATCTGAACGAAATGAATGAAGTACTCCTTTGCTTTATGGCAATGCTGCCCAACCCGTCGTGTACCTCCGCTGTCGCGAGTAGCTTGACGATAATATATAGGCTGGCCGTGCAAGCAATTGCAAGCGCCATTTTCCGATTATTCTTCGCTTTGCATGCTACAACAGTCTACCTTGTATTTATTGTTTTTGTGCACGCCATAACGTACAATAGGTATCGATCGACCGTCATTATTTTCTCATTGCCATTCAATAAGTTTTTTCAATTGCGTAAAATGATTAATGATCTATTTTTATCGCTGCCGCACGAAAAATGTTTAGTATTAATTGTGCGAAATGATATTTAAATAGTCTTTAAATTAAAGACGTCGTGACACTTATACATACAAACACATATATATAAATATGCATACTACTTTAACTGTAATTCAGAAATGCATTTTAATAAAGTCGTATCTGGCTTAGAGGCCCATATATGCTACTCACTACTTCAGGCAAGGGTACACGCACACGCACACGCACACTTCATCGGTAAAAGCTAATTTTTCCCCATAGACACTTTTAATGTCTATAATAACTATTGAACACAGTATCTTCAAATGAACTTTTTTTTTTTTTTTTTTTGAGTCCTCTATCTCTTTAGCCAATTGTTTATTTCAAGTTTTCAAGATCTGTAGGATTGGGTTGAAGCCAACCCAAAATCGTATATTTTGAACTTTTGCGGATATTTAAGTATGTCCTTATGGAGTAAAACCTTTAACAATGATGGATGCGATTGAATCGCAAAACCATTATGCTTGCATTATGCCGAAAGTCAACATATTATGACTTTTATAAAGAGTCTGCGGATGTATGTAACACTTACAAGGATTTCAGGTGCATCCTTTCCACCTTTCATTGTACCAATCGATCAACAATTATTTTCCGAATCAACTCAAGCTTATCTGTCCTTGTTCGTGTTGTAATTTTTGCGATATTCTAACGAAATTTCGTACACTGACGTGTTTTGGATTACCTTAGCGAAATTAATCTACGCAGGGTACAATCTTTTATTGGTGGTTAGCCTTAAAAGATCAGATGGCCTCAATTTAGCGAATTAAGACTTTGTCACAAAGAAAAGGAAAACTATGTAGCTGTAGTCACTTGACAACAATATAACTGCGTGTCGATAATATATCTTCAAAATGTCCACTTTTTCGCATTGATTGTATCGGTAGCTGGATCCTTATGTTTATTTCATGAATTTTTTTAAAAGTTCTAGGCAAGAGGAGAACAAAGCAACATTACTATCTAGGGGATCGACTGAAAATTTTTAAATTAGTTACACTTCAATAAAAAATCGAGGTTGCTGACGCATTTCCAAGAGATTATAGCCAATTAGTGAAAATAATATTTCGCTATTCCACTTAAAAATCGCTTTACGCGTTTACGGTTTTTTTGGCAACTTAACTGAAACAGAACACACAAATAATTTATCGGAATTGTATACACAACGTTTGTGTTTTTGAGATATTTTTAGCGAGTTACGTGAAATGCCTAAAAATATCTCTTTCAAGAATGCAAAACACTCGTTGTTTGCAACATTTAAGAAAATCAAAAAAAAAATAAAAATAAAAAATATATATTCTCTCAACATAATTAAATTTTAATACAATAAAATTATACTAAATTAGAAAACGTTTATGTGCAATTATCGATGAATTTATTTGATGAATCTTCTTAAATAAATATTTTTAAAATGTAAAATTAAGGAAAGACAAAAATAATAATAAAGAAGTACTAGGGCTGCGCGAACAACACGAACATTTCCGTAATATCCTTTGGACGGCTTGCATTTCTATCGTATTGGCGACGGAAAATTTGTAAAGGACGTTATGTGTCAAATCAAACCTCTCACAAAAGACGATCGGTTGCAATCGTTAATCTATTCTAGCACATGGGATATTATGACGCACGAGAGTGAAATTTAAAACATTTATCGATTTATATATAAATTTTTGAATTTTGAAAACATGTTTGAACCCAAAACAAAAAAAAAAAAAAATGCTTGAAAAAATTAGATGATATTATCTGCGAAAGAGAAAAAAAAAAAAACAAAAGATGGAGTAAACGCTTAACTTGGATTTTTCAATCGAATTAAGAAAAGAATTTGGAAACGTAAACATTTTTGCTCTAAAAATTTAATAACATGTTCCCCTTTTTTTTCTCCTCTTATGTAACATAAAACAATAAAATGAAATGGATATTAAAATTTCGTCTTTCTTCTCCGTTACAGGATCAGTACGACAATTTAGCAATACACACAAGCAAAGGCATCGAGTTCCTGGATAAATATGCAAATTTCATACGTGATCGCTTAGCAATAGAAACGGAATATGCCGCTAAATTAAGGTAAGTAAGAAAATATTGTATTCAATTACATGACATTAGGTCCGCTTAGCTACATTTTCTACGATTTTCAAAATTGTATACCTTTTATTGAAAGCCGAAATTCCCACACAAGATAGATAAACTTATACATATACACACATATATACACAAATTTGATAGTTGAAGAAAAAGTTCTATCTATGAAAGAGTGATTGGTTGCTTCGCAAAACATGCAGGCCGTGTTCAATTTTCCTGAAATTTTCGGCATAGATAATAAGTTCCAGCTATCTACAAGGTGTCGTTCAGTGTATATCAAATGCCTATATGCAATCGAACACATTTAACGCTTTGCATGTGATTCCGGTTTAAACTTGTAAAAATGTAGTTGAAGTTACGGATGAAACTGCGCCAACGACGCACGGATAAGTTACAGGGCGGTTTGCGAGATTCAATACAAAAAGTTTTAGCCTTGAAGCCGATGAACTTTCTATAATTGTGCAGGATGTTCAGAGTTTACATTTTCCAGTAAAAACAAGTCAACAACCAGTTACATGCAATGAAAAAGAAAACAAAGTGAGGGAAAATGGTTTCATCATAAATACTAATCAAAGAGTACGAAAATCGAAGAGTTGGCGCCCGCATTACATTTACTTAATTACAGTATGGATTCCAGAGTGAATCGTATACGATTGAAGAATGGATTGGCCCAGGCCAAGGAGCCATACATCCTTTGTAAAGCCGAATATTCATGCAAAAATGGTTTAAATGTTCAATATGAATATCCATCTAATTCACTCGCATTGAACGATAGCAGCTTGTAAGCATCTGAAGCTTATACAGCCGTACAAGCCCCAATGTTTAAGTTACCCATCCACACGCCTCATATATGTTTCATGAAGCAATCACTTTCAATTGACAAAGAACTTATTTCTACACCTAACGTTTACGTACAAATACGTTATACAATACTTTGCTACATTTTGAAATTTTGTGCTCCCTTTTTTTTGTAATCGTCACTTGCTTGACCAAAGACGACATTAAGTGGCATTAGAAAACCAATAAACCCGCATGCAATCATAAAAAACAAATGACAACAAGTTGATATTTTGCTAGACTAATTGAAAAATCAAAAGGGTCGAATGTTGTAAATAAGCTATTTTAAATGGGGGAGCGCATTACAACAAATATATATATATGTTTTAAAATACTAGAGACGAGTAAGTAAGTAAGTAAAGTGGCGCCCAAACAATTTCAATGACAAAAGTGCTTAAATTTCACACTATTGGGTAATAAAAAGAAATTCTATCTCATATTTAAACGATTGCGGGGTAAACGATAAATGTAGATGAGCAAAAAAGCAAGTGTAAAATATGCTTGAATCAGGTGTTAAGTTTAATCAGGTCAGTAAATCAGAGCGTCATGACTACCTTCAAACGAAAACGTGATAGAATCACATGTCAAGAAAATTTATTAAATGTAATAAACAAACAAGAAAATTATAACATAATGCATTTGTAGTACGGAGAACCTTCGTTACTCACCGCCTACGCGAAACGGATGAGAAGTAAATTTATAAAACCAATTAAAGTGGGCCACGACCTACCATTAAATATCCTAGGCGTTATAGGGGAAGTGGTCGAAAACGTGATCATCCAATACGAATCATATTCAATAGCCTTCACTCTTGGGCTAAGGCACTGCGTTGTAATGAATTAATTCACGGTCCCCGCATGCCAATATATCATTAGGAGTCAGGGTTTTCTCGACGATGACATTTACGCATTTAATTGCTATTGAAAAAGAGTAAAATCGAAAATCGAGGCAGTTGTTTAGAGTTTATAACATTAGTTGTACATGTGTAAGCAACATCAAGCCCCCTTTAGATACACCCACATTTTTCACTATATTCACTTTCCAAATCACTTTTCTCAATCGATTTAAGCATATTTGTCCGTGTATATGTCATTTTTACAATTACTTAAGTGTCTTGGTGGCCAAAGGATGAATGCTTTTGAATTTGAATGACATCGACGCATATACAAAACCGTTCGCTTATATAACGCCTCCACTTAGAAGTAATGTATATGAAAAAAAGTCACATTATATATATATAATATTTCTGCGAGGAAATCACTAGCAAACAGTATTTGGGCACACTAAGCGGATGGATGGCATCATTTTCTTGGAGCATCATCTCATCCTCACATATTTACAAAAATTAAAACTTTATATGACAATATAGAATAACGATTTAGTGGCCTATGGGGAGACGAGCTTTTCTGTTGAAAAGTAAGCCTTTCTACGGCAATATGATCTAATTTTTAGTAGGTATTATGACGAAAATAAGTGAAAAGTGGGGGGGGGGGGGGTAGAGTTTGGCAGAAAAACATACTACTTAACTAGGTTCAGACCACGACAATTAAGATGCTGGCGTCCCACCTTTCATACGCTTCTCATGAAAAGTAAGCGTTTAGGTAGTGACGGGTACAATTTTTGATATTTCACGACGAGAATAGGTGAAGTTATTGCTTTTAGGCGGCATAGCGTAATTATTGTTTCTCATTTCAAATATCAAATACTCAGCATCACAATGTGGATAACTATTTCCGCGATAATGAAACTCGAGCCCCATGCAGATGTTATGTGACGTTTGTACGACAGAATGCATATAGATTTTAACTAAAATACATATTTCATGTAAATTGCACACTAAATGGGAAATTATGGAGAAGAACTTACACAATTCAAAATAGGTCAAATACTTGTTCGGATTTCGCTAACCAGGTTAGCAATTGCAAAATATCGAAAGGGAATTTATAGAACTGGAATTTCTTTCTTGCCAACCCAAGGTCCGAATTGAACTTTAATGAATGTGAATGTGACAAGTGCGCGAAATGAGATATTTTTCTTAAACTAAATCTCACACTGAGAGATGGTGAATACTTGTAAATGCATTTTAAACCAATTTAGTGTCGTTGCGATGTTAATTTGGCAAATCAAGTTCAAGTGTACGCAATTGTCGTTTACTTGCAATGATTCAATGAATGCACCGTTATGGCATGCAACCATTTAATAAAGTTGAGCAAAATTTACAATTTCAGCTCGGCTTAAAATACCTACCTTTTATATTACGTAACACAAATGAAAACACAAATGTTTTGTAAATAAAGTGAAAATCTCGTAAATAAGTTTTTTATTTTTTTTTTTCATTCCATACTTTTACAACTTTACTAAAATGGACATTTTTGCACACAATTTAGAAAGAAAGAAGAAATAAAACCCTTAACGTAAATCATTTCTACCTATTACTGAAATACGCTATGCCGAAGATCTGAGACAAGAAACCGAACTTTGACTCGTTCACTTGCCATATACGTATATAGATTTCAACCAAAATATAAACCCAAGCATTATGAAACACATACTCTTTCGAATTTTCTGCGCGTAATAAGTGAATTAATTGAATACTCATAACATAACCGCAAATTGACGCTTTCGCACGTAAGAGCATCCTTGTCGGACTACAATTTTGTTGTCAATTATCCTTAGTTTACAAACATTATTGAAAAGCATGCGTTTGTTCCAGCGTTAATTGATAGATTTTGAAAACCTGAATTATCTTGACCCTTTCCGAGGCCCACTGTCCACTTACCCGGGACACATTTCGTTAACATACTTACTTGAAAGGATTTCTATTCCATATTGCATTGTGTGTGTGTGCGTGTGTGTGTGTGTGTGTGTGTGTATATATATATATATATGTTTTTGTTTATTTAAAACATGTTTGACTATTACACACTTGAATTTGCACATTCGCTTGTTATCATCAGTTCACTTTCACTATGTGCATACTGCTGATCATTATACTGCCAACTATTGCTTCAAGCGCAGGACTTTGAAATGGTGGATGAGGAAGCTATTCTTTTTGGGATTAGAACGTTCTGTGATAAATGCACACACACATATATATATATATATACATTCTATATGGAATCTGCTAATAAGAAGAATGAAACTCCAGGCTCTCACAAGCATTTTCGCAGACAGTTGACGAAACAGAACATGTAAGAAATTGTCCGAATTAACTTAAAAACTTATGCAAAAGCAATTCATTGGCTTCCGACAATGATGAAAGATTGAAAGGAAAACTGCACCTAATAACGCCAGAACTGTAGTTAAGTTAGTGGTCGAAAAGAAATCCAACATTTTTGTGAAGGCTGTACGACGAATTCATGCAATTCACGTAGGAAACCGTTTTAAAAAGACATCACGCGTTAGCTAATGTTCAATTTCTGTTCTCATTAGTAGACGAACGCGTTCACTATAAGCAATTTATTCAAATTGGTTCATTTCGTTCTTAAAATTAACTTGGACCTGGCTACCGACAGTGTCATAAATTTAAAGAACTGGAAAGAAATTACGCGGCGCAGTCTGAGAATAAACAAAAAAGTAGTAAAGTCACTGAAGTCTTCCAAAGTCTCTTCCAAAACGAATTTTAACCATGGGTACGTACACGACATAGCAAAGCGTTAAAATTGTTCAGACTTATTATGATAATTAACATTTTCCAAAATTAATATTTTGTAAAGTTTGTGATTTTCTGGCTTTTGCAACAATTGAGTCAATAATTCAAAGTTTTGCCAAAATTAATGAACTAAGAATTCCGTTTAGGATAAACCAAAGTGGACCGAAATATACACTTTTCTGTGACATGGATATTGGAGTGATCGAATCATTGCTCCCTGGTCTTTAATTCTGCGGAAATCCAATACAAGTACAGAAGCTTTCACTGTCAGTAGTCCGTGTTATATTAGTTGAGGAATTTTCGTAAGCTAAATTTGAAGAAATCATTGACGCGTACTTTTAATAGCAAGAAGCTAAAGCGCAATCTTTGAAGTATTGAAGTGCAAGTTTTCAACCACCTAGACCTTACTCACGTACTAACTCCATTAGATAATGCTCTTTTGGTGTTTTTTTTTTTTTTTTTTAAGCATAGTCCAGCAGCAATATTAGATTCGAAAAACAACATACGAAATAAAGTTAATCGATAGGATTATCTGGCTATTAAGAATTCTGATGTCCGAATATGGAACCATGTAAATACAGTCGTGGTGCATATTTCATGTCATTTTTCAGATGTAATTTTAAACACTAGCGCTACTAACGTTTCGCATACATTCACATGTTTGACACAAACATTCCTTTATCGATTAAGAACCCATGGGTAAATATTAATTGTGATCGGTCTACAACACGCCCACAGTACATTAGAACCTGAGACAGTCTCGAGAAAACAGCAAAATTTTTTTCATGTTTTCATCTATAGATTTCGGTCTTGTGAAAATACATCCGAAAATCTGCTATCTGAATGCTCGTCAAACCACCCCTACATATTGCAAAAATGGTCTCGCTCGCTTTACTCTAATACGCCCATAATCGACGATAAAATTTGAATACCAATTTATTTCGAATTTATTCACAATTGAGTGGAGGAAACGCTAGTGTATGTTAAAATAAATGGGAAATAATTTGAAAGCGAATTCTGGGCGTGATGATGATGATGATGATCCTAACGAATATTTACGTCACAAATTTTCAGAAATATTTTGCCTGGATCATAGGCATGGAGCTTGTAAACAGAAATATGAGAAAAATGTCGCCGTTTTTCCGACAGCTCGTCTCAGCTTCTTCCAATGCGGATGTGCACATAAACACCCGATTTTTCAACTTCACATCTTTAATCGATCAAAGAATGTTAATGCCAAATTTTCGGTTTCTATCATCATTTTTGTGACTGTGACGGCCCCGCAATCAGTCAGGATCAGAATGACCCATAAGTGTAGACATAGGTGTCTCGAAAACTATCGGTTACGTGGAAAAACTGATTACACGTACTTCAAAGTCGTTTATTGAAGGTTTACATGCTTTGTAAGCTTCTTTTTTGTTAAGTCCAAATTTTAAAAAGGTGTTATTGACTTCTACGGTACTACCAGCGTTAAAGCGATATACTTTTATTGTCAATAAAAAGTTAAGTTCTTCTTTTGAAAAATCGTTCCTTTGCAAACACGTGAGCGAAGCTTTGCAATTACTATCTAATGCACCCTACTCTGAATTTGTTTGCGAGCAAATGTTGTTGCCTTAGAATACAATCGATTCAAAAAGTGTCTTTCGCAATGAGTCTAGATGGCTTGAGTTATGTCATCGACTGTAATACGCAATGGCTTTAGCTGAGGTAACCTTTTATTTGTGCATGGCCAGTTTCAAGAATGTATTTCTTTTTTTTTTTTTTTTTTTTTTTTTCTGATTCAGTTAAGTATAAGTAAACTTTCCCGCAAATTCGAGCTTTTAGTTTTTTATGCAATACATTTTTTATGGGTATTTCGCTGAACAAGAAATCTTGTTGTTTTTACTGCAAACAACATTAACGTTCAGCAGCGACTTCATTGCTTATGTACATAACTAAAATGACCGAATCAAGCAATTCAACTGTCAATGATTGACGTATGTTTGCAACGAGACGTTAAAAGTGAATTTTATTAATATTATTAAGTGTAGCAAAAGCGTTATTTGCCAAATAATGTCTAGTGAGTTTTCCTCTGTCCGTTTGTCATTTTGTGCATATGCTTCCAAAAATTTGACAACATTTGTTTTACGATTTTTATCTTTTACTTTTCTTCTTCTTCTTCCTTTTTTTTTTTTTTTTTTTCTAAATAGACCACAAAGAATACACCTTGTATTACTTTTGCATCAAATATATTCGTAGTTAGAAGTTTTCGTTGCTTACTTGTTGTTGTTTGACGACAAAAACAACAGCAATAATAATCTTGATAATAAATATAATAAATAATAACCACAAAAACAGCTTGAAATTGTTAATTCGCGCTACTCGTACAATCTCCTCATTTGTATTATGATCATTTACGTATGCATCACATAAACAAGACCGCAAACGAATTTATTAGATATTTAATGTATTTAAGTTTATGGCCTTATCATCATCGTCGTGTGTATATTTTATGAATTTCGAGCTCTTAACTTAAGCGTTTTTAATATCATTTTATTTTTAGGCGATTAGCAAAAAATTATCAACCTAAGAAGAAGGAAGAAGATGATAATGAGTAAGTGCCTTCTCTTTTAAATACATTTATATAAGCAAATTAAAACACTTGATATCACGACTTTTGCAGGTTATACTACGTACACGCTTGCAACATATTTATAATATCTGAACTCAAGGTTTGTCGTAACACTTTCGCGAAATCATCTTAGAAAAATGTGGAAATAATTGCAT